ACCTTCTTCACATATAGTTATAGTAAATATTTAAATAAATAGTGGTAAAGATCCAATACAATATATGCATTTAGAAATTATTATCCCTAATTCTTTCTCTGAGACTTGAGAGATCGGTGAAGTAAGAGAGCTTCAGCATTTTAAGAAACCTATGTAATTAATTGTCCTTACAAATACTATGAGACACGAATCATATTCGATCATCAAGCAAAAGGCATTTTACATTAATTGTGTCTCATGTTTTTAACCTTCAGGCATCTAGTTCTATATGTTAAAAATATTTACAATCTATGAATTTATTCAGCAACTTTCTTTCTCAGGATGATAACAAGCAACAGAAGCCCCATCAAAAGGTGACACAGGGGTAGAAATGTCAGATTAGAACTTAAATTTGGAAATTCAATGGGTTATAAGGTGCATTGATTTACAAGCAATGATTGACGGTACACAATGAATTCAACTTCTTCTTCTTTCAACTCCGGGTTTAGGAAGATAGGCACAACCTCTCCTGGGTATTTCTGATCATAACTGATAGAAGGGTAGTTGTCGTTAGTGCTTGAATGGTCGGAAAGGTAACAGACCTGCAGAGAAACAGAACACATTTTAACCTAGTAGAGGCATAGGGATTATATTTCAGCTTAAATGCTACAACTAACGTGTATTGAAGTAGTTTTTCCGCAACGTCTTCACTGTATGTAGACAATGTAAGAATACTAATGCCAAAGATGAATAAGATCCTGACAACATAAAACAAACAAACAGATCAAATAGGATGGACAGGAGAAATAAAAAGAAGCAGGTAGAATACTTAGGCTTTTTACCATGGGGTAAAGTGAAGAGGCACGACCATTCCAAGTGCGATGACTAAATACAGCATCTGGTGAACCACAGCCATCCTGGATGGTAAACAGAAAGTTTAATTTAAAGAAATTTTTTTGAAAGAGAAAACTAGGTGCCGGAGAATGAGGCCAGTTTTAAGAATGCAGAGATAGAATAATGCACAACTATGAGGTTAGAAATGCAGTAGAGCCTATAAATACTCACGTCTGTTGATATTTCGCCAGCCAGTAGCATAATTCCATGGCTTTCCAGGAAACTGCACCCCACAGCTGAGAGAGCAGGGATAAAGGACACAGATATAGTGGTGCCATATTTCGAACTTTAATTTTCTCAGCAGATTCAAGAACAAAAACAAAGACACATAAACCAAGAACAATGCATAAACGTCGGTACAGACGGTACACGTAAGCCAGCTCCACGTTGACAACACTGCAACACCATACACATCCTCTCATTGAGTCACAATGGGCACATTTGAGTGACTTTCATTTGCTTTCGCTATGCAATCAAGTTTTCTATCGTTTCGACGAAAGCAGAGTTGTCTAAAGCTATGTATATGCGTTGTCACAAGAGCTTAAATATAAGTTTCAACCTGCTCAGGTTGGCAACCGTACGGATGAAGTCTAGCCGCCAGACCACTGCAGCCCGGTGTCTGGAGAAAATTTTCTTGGTGTGTTGAAGTCGATTTCCTCTCTCTCTCGTAATTAACAACTAGGACTAGGAAAATGAGAAGAAGCCGCAGCAGAAGCCGGAGCCAGTGCCGGTGGTGTGATTGCAATCAGCCCCCGCCCCCTCCCGCCCCTGTGGCAGATAAGGGCGAAAAGTCATCGTAAGTGATATGGTCCAGCCCATGGGTCCACATGGTCCACATCCTCCCATCTCCCATGCTGCCATTGTGCCATAGTGAGAGTTAAAATGAAACATGAGAGTCTTTCAATTGATACTGAATCGAAATTTCCAATTCATTTTATTTTATCCATTTTATCCATGGGTCCATCACCCCATCCTACCATGCTTCGATAAGTGGGAGGCTGGTCTCGAGAGAGTTAAAATGAAACATGCGAGTCTTTTAATTGATACTGAATCGAAATTTCCAATTCATTTTATTTTATTTCATTTCCTTAGCATTTTACACACCTCTTTCTTTCTCTTTCCAGTGATAACAACAGAATCAGCGTTTGGCTGATGTGCCTCATCATATGTTTGACAGCCGGAACGGTAGGGCTGTGCATGTATCAGCCAGATCTGTTGGGGGTGTTTGTGTTCTTATACAGCACACTTCTGTTCGGTAAGTACAGCATGAATACGACCTTCCTCAACTTCAAAAAGAGTTTATGACTGCTTACTAGCAATGAGAACTGATACCATGCTTTTTGCAATTGCAGTTCTATTGACTGGGAACAAGGAGGGACAAGCTGCCCTCCAGGGTTTCTTGACGGCTAATGGTGGTAAGGTATCAAATTGTAGCTGCTGCGTTGTACATTCCAGTCCATTATGTGAAACTAATACCATGCCTCTTGTTTGCAGCATTTCTGCTGGCCGGTCAAGTAAGCAAATCACTGGCGGCAGCACCGAAGAAAGACTAATGTTCTGTTTGAGGTGAGGACCATATATTTGAAGTGTAGTTTCATTCACGGGTCTGCAACAGAAAGTTATTATTGCAGATGATGGGAAGATCGACCTCTT